GGGGGGGGGGGGAGGTAGAAGCCCCAGAACAGTGGCCTGAGAGGAGCTTTCTCTGAAGTTCTGTAGGTGTTGTCACAGGTGAAAGAAGGAAGTCAGAAGTTAAAGTTGAGACGTCTTTCAGGCAGATAAAAATACTTCAGGTAGGCTCACAGCCGCCCTTAAGAATACATAGTAGCCAAAGGAGGGGCCCTCAGAGGAAGCCTGATTGTTTGCATTTACAGATGTAAATTTCTTTTCACAAAGAAACAGTCTTCTCTCTAATCTTGTTTTTCCAGTCTCTCTGAATTAGCCATCTTGAAATATGTCAAAGAAATGTATATTTGGGGCAGAAGTATTTTTCTTTTCCACACCAGGCAGGGCATAGGAGATATCCTGGTATCGTAGGACTGCTCTGTGTGTGTGTGTGTGTGTGTGTGTGCGCGCGCGCGCGAGAGAGAGAGAGAGAGAGAGAGAGAGAGAGAGAGAGAGAGAGAGGTCTAAGAGGCACACTGACTCTGTGGTGGTTGTCCGTGCGTGACCCATCAAATCAGCTTTCCTTCAAGAGGAACAGATTGTCATTTTTTGCGTCTCCCTTAGTGGTAAAGAACCACGTGCCTTGAATGATGAAGGAAGCTGCCTAAGTTTCATCCCCAGAGCCCTCACAAGCAGGGTTTGTTCCCAAGTTAATTGTTCTTGACTTGTGAAGGGTCCCTAGTATGCGTTTTAACAAGTCTGGCTTTGGGATTGGGAGTTTCATTACCCGATGCTGGAGACCAGTTAAGCTTCCTCCTTCCTCCTCCTCTTTCTTCTTATTACTCTTCATTTTCCTCTTCCTCCTCCTTCCTCCCTCCTCCTCCTCCTTTCTTTTTTCATTTTACTTTTAAGTCACCCAGCCCAATAGATAAAACAGATCAAAGAAAGCCTGGAAGGCTGCCACTTCTGCCATCCCCACCTCCTGGAGGCAATTCTAAGGAAGTGGGGAGACAATGTTTTGCAAAACACTGCAGTTAGCTCCCTGGGATGTACTAGCCTTTTCTGTCCAGGTCTCTGTTTGTGGAAAAGGATTGGACATGGCTGTGTAAATAAGCCGCCATGTTATAATAAGTAGGTTTCTGCTGTAATAACAGCACTGAGCTACCGCGGTTTGCCTTTTCTAATGCAGCCGGGACTGCAGCAGTTGAAGCCATTGACTGGGGCCCACTGAATGTTTACGGAGCTCATTATATAATGAAGTATTGTAACCAAAGTGTGCTCAGGAAGTGTTTGGGGGGGATTCTGAGCTCTTCAGAACATTTCAGTTAATATGAAATATGCTGCTTTAAATTTATTTTGTACGTTTGCAAACTCTGGTGCTGTTTTACACCAAGAGCCTCTTTTATATACATAGTCTCTCTCATATGGCATGCCTTAACCTGACACATTTCTTTTCTACCTTTGCATCAAAGTCTGAGCGTGACCAGGATTTTATCTGTTTTCACCTCTAGGCTGCAGATGCACATGTTGAATGGAGCTCTTCTGGCATTGCTGTTTCCTGTGGTAAATACCCGCCTGGTAAGTAGTCGTTTCTAGGAATGTACCAGCAACATACAAACAGTATTTGCTCGCTCCTTCATTATCCAGTGCTTGTCTTCATTCTTAGCCTGTATGTCCATGTGATTTTTAAAATATGTATGTTGGTAATGTTGAGGTATAATAAAGTCCTGTTTGGATGCAGTGGAGCTTGATGGGGGTGCGAGTATTTTGTGGACCTCTGGGGCTGCAATAAGGGTTTAGAACAGAACTAGGACAGATCAGAAAAACCTTCAGAAACTCTTGGAGAGGTTTGGTGGAAAGAAAGGGAGGCTGGGGCACCACCTATTAGACAGAAGCTCCCACGCTTTCTAAGGGGCTGTCATGTAGACTCAGCCATGTTGGCCTAGAATAATCTTCTGGGGAGTCTCAACGCCTATTCAGTTCACCAAGGGCCCCGCTGGGCAAGAATTAGATTCCTTCCCCATTCATCCAAATCCATGTTGCAGTCAGGGCTACACAACCCCTAGTGGCTGGCAGGGAGAATCCCATTTTGGTAGGGGACCGGGTGATAAACCAGCTTAGAAAGGAGCAGGAGCTACGAGGCATGTCCTCAAGCCTTCACATGTGGAACTGGGGAGGAATTATCAGGCCATATTAGAAAGCAAAAAGGAAAGAAAGCTCAGAGGAAAAAATCACCTGTAAAATTTTTATGACTGCTTCCTATTTTCGTGAAAAATTTCCCTTATACATTAAGATGATAGTTTAAGTCTTGAAATGATACTCCTTCATTTTGGGTGGCATTTTAGACTTTACAAGGTCTTGTCACATAAGAGTTGTGTGAGATAAGATAGGTATTATGTTCTTTTCTTTTACAGAGGAAGAAACTGACGTTCAGGGAGTCACATAAATTCTAAGTGGTAGAGTTAGGACCGGAGCATAAGCCTCTTGATCCTGAAACCACAGCTGTGCTTTGCTCCTTCTGAGGATTTAGTCATCCCCTCCGCACAAATATTCATGTATACCCTTATGATAGTTATACTTTTCTAGATGCATATTATACATCAGTAGAAATTAAAAGAGAGAGCTTTCACGTAAAGCAATGATTTTGAACCCTTGCCATGCTCCAGGCTCACCTAATTACCTTGACTTAATCATTCTACAGTGTAAACAGATATCAAAACATCACATTGTACCCCATAGTATATATAGTTATTTATCAATTAAAATAAAATTAAAAACAAACTGATGAAAAAACAAAAAAACGAACACCACCAATGCCCTGCCCCACCCTCGGAGAGTCTCAGTTCATGATCTGGGATGAAGCCTGTGCATTGTGTTTAAAAAACTACCCCAGGTAATTCTAATGCTGAGCACCTCTGATTTTCTGTATTGGTTCTAAACATGATGTCCATAGCAATCCACTGAGAGGCTTGTTAAAAAATGAGGCTTGCCAGGCCCCATTCCCAGAAGGTCTGATTGAGAGGGTCTGGGGTGATTGCAGGGAATGAGCATTTGTAATAAGCCCTCAAGTGATGCCAACATGGGGGTCCTCAGACCATTCTTGGAGAGTCAGTGTCCTAGACACTTGGAACATGAAGTTGCTCCAAGTGTGTAACTCAAAGTGTGGGCTGAGGACCAGCATCACATGGTTGCTGCCTGTTAGAAATGCAGAATTTCCAGCCCTATCTCATACCTGCTGTATCTGAATCTGCATTGTAACAGGATTCCACAGGTAGCTTATATGGCCTAGACCCTTTCCTCCAAGGGGCCTAAAGCACCTTAGAGATAGACCATTTGAACTCCTGCTGAGGGCAACGTAGGGGCTCAGGAGGGTGAGTGGGCTGCATGATGGTCAGTGTTTCCCTGTGAACTGAGACCAGCAGGCACAGGCTGTTGTTGTCCCTTGTGAACCTCCCACAGTACGTGACTTGCCTGACTCTACCTGGTGAACTGTAGCATCAGAAATCCTGCCTTCATCTCTGAGCTCGAGTGATAATACCAAAGAATCGTGCAAATAACCACATTGAAAAAGTAAATTTGCACACTCAAAAATAAATGGCTAACTTTACATGCTACAGCATTACTCCTTACTGGCTCAGGGATGTGGAACAGTGTTGGAGCAGAAATTACTCCTGGCCTGTGGAGGTAACCTGCTAAGGCAGAAAAGTGGATCCAGTGCTATCTGAGCCCATCTCTGCTCCCACTGTCTCTGATTTCTCAGGAAATTGAGAGGTCAGGCAGATAGAGAGCTGCTTTCTCTGTTTTCAGCAGCTCTATCAGATCTCAGGAAGGGGAGGCACATCACAAGTTTCTCCCTGGACTAATATAGTTAATGATCCTGAGTTTGTGTGCTTCCAGCCCACAGTTCTGGCCAGACAGTCTCTACCATCAGTTGAGGTGGGTCTGATTCCTCTAGACAGGCCGCCTTCAACTCTCTTCCTAGTGGGACCTTTCCCCCAATGAAAACCCAATAGCTTTCTTCTTGCAGAGCCATTGAGTATAAATAGAAGTTATTTTTCCCATTGTAAAAGCATGAGAATAAAGGCCCCAAAGGGCCCCGACACATACCTAAGGTCAGTTAGAAAGCTAGTGGTGAATTTTCATTCAGTCAGCATTGTTACACCAAAGTTATATCTCTCTCTAGGTCTGCTGATGTTTCTTTAGGCTGTTTAGCAATAACAGCAGCAGCACTATCACCTGCCATTTCTTGAGTGCTTACTATGTGCCAGGTACTGTTCTAAGTGCTTTACATGGATTAATTTATTTAATCCCTACAATAAACTTGAGGCAAGGTACTGTTATTATCCCCAAGATCAAGGTGCCAGGAGGGTTAATGTCATCTGAGGCCTCTCTCCTTGGCTTGCAGGTGGCTGTCCTCTTGCTGCCTCTTCACATGGCTTCTGTCACACACATCCCTAGTGTGTCTTTGTGTGGCCAAATTTCCTCTTCTTACAAGGACACCTGTCATATTGGATTAGAGCCCACCCTAAGGGCCTCCTTTTAACTTAGTCACCTCCTTGAAGGCCTTATCTCCAAACACAGTCACATTCTAAGGTACTGGGGGTTGGGTTTTCAACATACGAATTTTGGGGACACACAACTCAGCCCATAGCACCTACACTACCCTATGCAGAAAATGTTGTTTCTCTCCCCTCTCCCCTGCTTTCTCTCCCCTCTCCCCTGCTTTCTCTCTCTCTCTCTCTCTCTCTCTCTCTCTCTCTCTCTCTCTCTCTCGCGCGCGCGCGCGCGCATGTGCACGCACCTGCGCCCTCCTTCCCTTCCTTTCTTGCTTCCTCCCTCCCTCCCTTCCTTTCTTCCTCCCTCCCTCCCTCCCTCCCTTCCTTTCTTCCTCCCTCCCTCCCTTCCTTTCTTCCTTTTCTCTCTCCCTCTCTCCTCCTTCCCCTCTCTCATGGCAGATGTGCTATTGTATCTGTTACATCAACAGCTAATACTTTCCAAGTAAACATCAAGCTATAGCCAACAAGCTTATCAAGAGTGTTCAAGTAACTTTCCCTGACACTGAAATTTCATAGATGGACCGCCTCTTAACTAGTGATTCCAGTTACTCCGGTGAATCTTTGTGCTGTTTTTCTAAAATAAAGCTGAGAAAAGCTTGCGATGTCCCCATTTGCATGAGTCATTGCTGTTGATTTTGGTCTGGTTCTTTTAGATGGCTGGGACCCTCCCTGGGCTACTTTGGCCTTTAGGATGTTTTCCTTTGGAACCCCTTAATTGAGCTCAGATTGACTTAAAATGAGACACAGGAAGATTGGCAACTCTTTCTTAAGCCTGATGATCCAATTAGGCAGGAAGCCAGTTTTTCACTTCTCTTTTGCCCTTCCTTCTTGGCCCTTTATCTTTCTAATTTTTTCTTTTTTTGCTCATTAGCAGTAATGAGGAGGCAAGAAAAATAAAATGAACTAATTAGTGTGTGTGCCAGTACCAGAAATATACACATGCATACATTCACATCCATAAAGACAGAGCGAGAGGATGTTGGGGGGAGTCGCCACAGTCAGCAAAGGATTTGGGTTCATCAGCGCATTTCCGTGTGCTCTACTCTGCCCCGTGACTCACTGGCACCAGGATTTGCACATCAGCCAGAGAATGCCCAGGTTTCAGTTCCACCTGGTTCTCCATCTTCAAAGCTGACGCCCTAGAAGAAAAACCGTGTCTTCCAATGGCCTACATTACAAGTAAGTGCTCCTTACGGCCAGGATTCTGGAGAAGGTCGCTTTCTGGCTTCAGCCGAAATATCTTAAGGGTGATTCCCAGTGATAGGCACATTTGTTTCTTGGAGGAAAGGAGGGAAAATGCATCACGGAACTATTGATTATTAGATTAGCAGGTAGCTCAAAGCTAGTCGGATTTAATCTAATCTTCCAGAGGTGGGATTTAGGAGGATAAATGACTTGCTTAAGAAGCCAAGGTGTGTGCTGCTAGAAACTAGGTCTCCTGACTCAGACTTTAGAACTCTTTTTCGATTCCATGACTGAAAGTTGGGGCGAGTTTCCATGCTGATGAGGCAAGATGCTGGAGATGCTTCTTAGCTTCCCTCCATCTAGAAGAGTTGGACCATAGTCTTCTTTCAGTAGTTGAAAAAAACTATAGAGCCTTTTCCTAGATAAATGCACACAATTTTGCACACAATTTCAGGAAGGACAGAGACTGCCACCTTCCCTCCTCATTCCCCCTCTCTCCCTCTGCAAGCCCATCGATGGATCCCATGTTAAGATCCCCCGCCCAGGCTGTCAGTAGGTCATAGCTTGGAGAACAGATGTGCCATGTAGTTTGCAAGTTCCTTGTCAGAGCCGCTGGTCCTTTGTCCTGATGGTGATTCTGGGTTCCTTATCTGTGCTTGTGACTTTGCAAAGAACATCATCCAATCCAGGCCAAACCACCTTCTGGAAAGTGAAAGCTGAGAAATGGGAGCTAAGTAGGGTGACTGTGGAACCTGGTTATATATTAGATTTCCAGTTACAGCTCTCACCTTGTGAAGCTGGTGATCTGGCCCTGAAATGAGGCACTGGGCCCATGCT